AGAGTCTGTTATTTTTCTTTTTCTCCAAGAAAAGTCCTCCTTACTAAACCAGCTGAATTGGGGCACTTTCCTATTAGAGAGAGGTGAAGAAAAAGAAAAGTGGGTTTCTTTTTGAAAACCTATTTTTAAAGGTAACAATGAGCTACTGCTGTTATGTATATCCAATACAGCAAATCTTCTGTTTTTCCTATTGTTATTTTAATTTAAATTCATTAAAGCTTACTTCATATACATATCTAAAGACTATCAAGGCCTATGGTAATCGCATGATTAACTGTTTACATCCAAGAAATATTTGGCATTCATTGACTGAGCAGTTAGCATTACTGTCAGTTGAAATTTATACAAAGTTTCTCATTAAAAATTTTTTCAGGAAACTAGGTTTCTCAAGTCCACTAGTTGTTATCACTCTTTCCAGTATTTATTGAGGTTTCCTTCTTAATCTTTTTTACAGTAGTGGAGAAAGTCAGCATTTTGATTTATAATTATTTTCCATTCCAGTTACATATGCTATCCATTTTACTTGTTACTGCTTTTGGAAGTCTTCAAGGGATGTAATTTTTGTTATTTAGTAATGATCTTTGTCATTCTGTACTGTTATCGGAATTAAATTCTCTATATTTTTCAACCAATAAAATTCCATCAGAATGTTTGTCGAATAAAAAATAATTACTGGGGCAAATACTGCCAAAATACTTGCAGATATAGTTGTAGACCTACCACGTTTAATTTTTGGACTATTTAGAAAACAACAACAATAATAATTTCTTTCCCCACTCCTGCAAATTTTGGAAAAAGATTTTTACAAGTCAGTGTGAAATATTTTCTAATGAAAACATCCTGTTATTCAATAATTTCATACCTATATGTGAAATTAGAATTTGAATCCCCTTACTGATATAAAAATAGAAGTATACTGCTTCTCAAGATTCACAACAATTTCAGAGGTCAGTTTGATCTGCACGTGCCTACACATACCAGCAGCCACCAACTAAGGACTTGTCCATGCACCGAATAGAAGGAAATAACCAGCAGCTGCCAACTAAACTCTTGTCTATGAACTCACATACATATTACACTGACCATCATAAAGTAAGTTTGACCACACATTTCACACAACACTAAATTACTTAATAAAGCAAACTTCACTGCAAGAAAAATGAACATTTTGTTATTTCATATTTCTGAAAAGAATATTATTTCGACCGACATTTTGCTTCTATTTTAACCACAGAAAATAACTTTTATACATATATTTAAAAGACGTGTTGTTGTTGTTAAAGGTCTGGAATCCTGACACTCAGATATGAACAAAAACCTTGATAGACAGATCCCAACAGTGTAAGTCTACAAGATTTGATGAAGGGTTATTTGAGTTCTTTAAGACTGAGAGGATTCATTTGCTTGAAGCCATTTTTAATCATTGATCTGAGAAAATGGTTTTTGAGTGATGACAGTTTGGACATTTCTGAAGGAATTGGATGCCATGCACAATATCCATCTGAGTCTAAATCTGACAAAGCTATCTAAGAACAACAACTCAAGTTCTCAGATTGATATTTTCGTTTTCTAACATCCTGTGTTGTTAGATAAAACTACCCCTAGTAATACCTATTCTCTGTTCAATTTCTTTATCTCAAAGAGTAAATTTGTTATAACTGACTCATACATCAAGGTATTTGTATTGTTTAGCATTAATTAATTCTACATTCTGAATTTTTATCATAGATTCAGGGTACGTGCCATCAGTACTATTATTCCAATTCCAGATAAGTGTTTCTGTTTTGGAAAGGCTTATGATAAGTCCTACTTCTTGGAACACAGTGTAATGAAATAGCTTATGGTTGATGATAAACAAAGATGGTTGCAATATCCTTGCAAACTGTTCTCAAGAGACGGAAAATGCATAATTGAATTCAAATGATTTAAATGAATAAATTGATGAATTTGATAAAGTGTGTTTTTTATTATTGTCGACTTGATAGGAATAAGAATGAGAACACCTTACACCTGTGGATTAAATAAAGTTCTAGTCAGAATCTCTTGCAGACTTTCAAGTGCTATAGACATTAATAAATTGGACAGTCAATCTAAGAAACTTAAGAAAATCATCTATAACACAAAGCAATCTCTTCGTTTCAGATATATTTAAATCATTCGAATATCAAAAAGGACAATATAATTTAAAATCTGTTACACTAATTCATTATGGATTTGAAATAATTTAACACATTAATAGTGCAAGAAATTGTAAATATATATTTGGAAAAAGTAGTTATAGATTTTTTACTTTGTAAAATAGAACAATAAAAAATGTTTTCATCCACCAATTTTCACTATTGTAGTCTTGTTGTTGTGGCCAGCTTGAACAAAACATGCATTTACACTTGTTCGATAATTTAAATAGCAAAAAGAGCATTTTCTGCTCAATCAGCTATTTGCAAAACCTTGTTTATAAGTGAATTAAAAGAGACACTTCTACATCATGAATATCATAGATTCAGGATATGTGCCATCACTGCTATTATTCCATTTCCAGATCAGAGTTTGTTTTGGTAAAGAATACTGATTTTTTCTATCATTTTGCCCCATGCAAGACAGTAGAGCCACTAAGACAGGATTACTGAGTGTAAAAGAATAAGAAAAAAATATTATTAAGGAGTGAGAACAACAAAATAGTAATCAAGAGGACAGGAGATAATGGTAATGGCATTGAATTAAAATTTTTGAAAGTTGGTTGGAAAGCATGGAGCCAGAAGAGAGTTCCACAAGTGAGTAGTGTGAGAAAAGAAACTGTTAGTATAGAACTTACAGTTATATCTAGCCAGTTCAACTGTGAACTGAGAAAACAATCAAGTATTGCACTTAAATTTATAAAGTTTATATACCATAGTGAAGAACTCATCCAAACAATTACCATGAAAGTATTTATCAAAAGGCACAGGGAAACTACATTACAATGATAAGAAAATGACTGTAGCTGAGATGTCAGAACAAGAGTAATAATATTGCTGATTCTTTGGATTTTATCAAGAATCTCTAAATATACAGCATGAGTACTGGACTATATGTGGCAGCAATATTCAAAGCATGGATGAATGGTAGACTTATAGATATGAAAGATCAGGAGAGAAAAATTGTCTAGCACAACACATTGAAGTAACTTTCTTAGCAGCTAACCTAGCAATGGATATATATAATCTTGCCACTTCATGTTGGCAAAGAATGTAAGCCCAAGAAGGTGCAACAAGTCACTCTCATAAACGTTAGTATCAACCATCAACCTGACAGGAGGCAGGAAAGGGTCTCTCAGATGATTGATAAAGAGAAGTTTCGTTTTGGAGACATTAAAATTAACAAGCCATTCCTTGTCCCCGTTAACAACAGGTTGTAGATCATTTTTGATATCAGCTGCTAATTTGACCTTATTGGACTGATGAAAAATAATTTTATTATATACTTATTAATTATATCCTTATTGATGCTATTCAGCTGCACCTTGGATGATACAAAGATTGAATTTCTGTCAATGTTGAGGCATCTTTTTAAACTTGGCCTCAAGGGCTACTGAAGCTACTTTCAAAATACAAGAAGCAGAAGGAAATGAAACAATACCTGACCATACTGCACAAAAATGTTCAATCATTTTAACAGTGATAACTTGTCCCTTGCAATAAAGACCACAAGTGGATGAAAATCAATTGCTGATTACAATAATTTGATATGCAAGATAAATTAGATCCCAAACATTATCACTCAAAAATTTCAAAAGAGCTATGATCATCAGAAGATACCATATACTCTTCTTCTAGGTTTTTCCCACGTTAAACGACCTTGTGTCACATCTTGACCCTGTGGGAGTTAAGTAAATACCACTCTTCTTCTAGGTGTCATGTTGCTACAGGACATTGGCAATATATGACCATACTGCACACAAATGATCAAAAGTTATAGCTTGTTGCTTGCAATAAAAACCACAAGTGGATAACAATCCATTGTTGATTATAGTGATTTAATATGCAAAAAAAGTAGATCCCAACCAAGATGACTCAAAAAATTTAGAAGATACCATATATTTTTCTTCTGTGTGTCATGCTGCTTCAGAACGTTGGCAATCAAGGCTCTCCACAATTTCCAGTTCTTTGTAGCACTTTTTTTCTTTTTGCTATCTCCCCTATGCCCTGTTCTGCAAACCATTTATACAAACTTGTTAGGTAGGTTATTCTGTTTTCCTCTATGTCTTGGCTTCAATATATCTTGTGTGTCCAATTTTCCAAGCCCTCTTTCCTCATTAAGTGCAAACTTAAAAAATATACAAAATCACTTGATAAGTTCTCTGTAAAAAATAGAGTTGATTAAAATAAAGGAAAATACTTTTCATATATCCCATGATTTAAATAAGGAATGAAATTCACTGTGATGAACATGTGATAGGCTATCCAGAAATTATAGAAATTTGACCCCTAAAACTTAACCCTGACACTGACTTAACACTAACCCCTTCAAAGTAGTGAGTCCTTCCCAAAGTCTGGACAAATATCAAAATTTATTTTAGAATTCCTTCTTGGTCAGGATGAGAATTTTTGTCCCCCACCTCCTTGTTTCCAGCTGATTCTAAGCCGATTCTAAATTTTCACCCGTCAAGATGAATTGTTGCACTTTCAATGTTTAAATTAAGTAAGAGCTTTCTTCTCTTAGACTTGACAATCTCAGCAACTGATAAAAATCCTGAGTGGGGTTAATCCTGAGTGACAAAGGCTTTCCAGGCAACAAACAAACCACTGGTTAGAGAGAATAAAAATATTGGCTTTTATTGCTCTCCACTAGGCGATCTTATTCCATTCAATAGGGGTGACAGCTTTTATTGCTCTCCAATAGGCAATCTTATTCCATTCAATAGGGGTGACAGCTTTTATTGCTCTCCACTAGGCAATCTTATTCCATACAATAGGGGTGACAGCTTTTATTGCTCTCGACTATGTGATCTTATTCCAGTCAATATGGGCGATGTCTCTATTAAAGCTGATGTCTTGAGCTGGTTTGGTTGACTGAGCGTACTCACTCTGCTGTGCAGTAAATTTTATTTTTTATTTTACCCTTCAATCTCAGTTTTGAGGATATTTTAGGGCATGAATTAACCCCAGGCCTTGAGATGATCTCTTATGATTCATCATGAAAGATGTTGGAAAAATAGTCAGGCCCTTATAGAGCTCAAGAAAGTACCCTGAGCCCATCTGCTATGCTCTATATTGGCAAAAGTCAGATCAGACCAAAAATGAAGTATTGCTGCTATATCCAAGCTGAAGCTGCTGAATCCGTACTTAAGGATATTAGTGATCATGGCTCTTCACAACTTCCAGTTCTTTGAATCGCTTAATAAATTTTATTTTTTTGTTATTTTACCTAAACCTTGCTCCACCATCCAATTACTCAAGCTTGCTGAGTAGGTTATGCATTGTTTTCCCCTGTCATGTCATTCTTAGATTCACTCTATCCTGTGTGTATCAAATTTTTCAAGCCTTCTTTTCTTGTTATGTGCCCTAGAAAATTCAACTGTCTCTTCCTGATATAAAATATAAATGTCTTTTTCATTTTCGGTAAAATTTTGTTGTTGCCCCCGTATTCCATCCATGGTATTTTCAAGATGCCTCTATAAAACCAAATTTCTGTTGCTTCAAGTCTCTTCTTTATCTGTGTGGAGAGTGTCCATTTTGGAGGAGTGATATTACATAACAGTTCAGTACTCTTTTCTTTGTTTCTAATGAAATTTTTCTGCACAACTGCAAATTGTTCTACTTATGAATAACCTTTAAATGTTCATTTCCTGATTAGAAAGCAATTCTCGGATTACTTTAAAAATTTTATTTGTAAATAAATGGCAAGTGAAGAATTATTAGCCATCATGAAATAGCATTTTTTTTCTGTTAGAGATGAATTTGAAAAACTGGAAAAATTCCAAGAATTTATCGAAATGCCTAAAAACAAATAAAAAAAATGTTATTATAATTGAATTTCAAGAACTTAAATCGAACATGCAGCCAACATTGTAAAGAAAAAAAATTGTTTTCTTTTTTTATTAGCTGTGCTTGTGCCTCCAGAACTCTCATTAAATGCATCATTTCCAAGGTTAAGAAAAAAACTATCCTTCTGAATCGGTACAGGTAATTCAGTAGAAGCCAATCTTCCATAGCAGGAGTTCAGTCTTTATTCCTCTCTTTTCTTTTTAACCTTCTCTGTCTTTTTGATTTAGTCTGTCCCTATTTTTTTTCACTTTATCTTCTCTTTCTTCAAATATATTATTATCTTTCCACATATCTCTCAGTTGAAATGAGTGTATCTTCCTCCCTATTTGAAACCTAAGATTCTTTTCCATTTTATCTCTTAGTGATATTGTTTTTTTATTTTATTTTTCTGTCTGTATATATTTTTTATTTTTTGATATAATTTTTTTATAACTTCTTCATCTCTGTCATCACATCTTTAAATGTATGCCTCATCCTAATTTTTACAATTTCAGCCTCTTCAGTTCATTTTCTCAGTTATTTTGACTTGTGGTTGGTCGAGTATAGTGTTCCTTCTTCAGCCTGTTAATATTTTTGTAGCACATGGTAGTGGTCTAGGAAAGTTAGTTCTGCTTACATGCAGCTGATATGTGTACTAGTTTCTCTTAGTACTGGTTGTGGCTCCTGCTCATTCCTATTTGACGAGATTAGCACTAGCAAACACATGCAAAAAGAGATATCAGTTTAGGGCCTCCATACATTGAGTAATGTATTCATCTACATGCCATGTTTCTTCAAAATGTAAGAAATCATGACTCTCCACAACTTCCTGTTTTTTGTGGTTCCTACTAAGGTTTTTCTTTTTACTATCTCTCCTAATTCCTGTTCTACCAACCAATTATACAAGCTCGTTAAGTAGGTTATTTGCTGCTTCACTATCTCTTGTCTTCAATAGGTCATGTGAGTGTCAAATTCTCCTCCCCTCTTTCCTCATTACATGCCCTAAATGTTTCAATTGTCTCTTTCTGGCTAGCACTTAAGTGAGGAGTTTAACATTAACAAAGAAACATACATGAAAGAAAATAAAGATATATCTATTTAAGGACTCCATGAGTACTATGGTCATGTGGCCTAGTGGTTAGAACATCTGCATTCTGTCCATGAGAACTCACCATGGCCAATTTGTCAGGAAGGAGACTTCCTGAGGTTATCGGTATTGGAGGGGTCAATCCCAACATGTGGCACCTTTGGAAAGTGCCCAAAAACTATATCAAGCGTTGACTCAAGCCTTGTGAGTGAAATTGATTAGACAGAACCCTTGAGTGCCATCGATAGCTGTGCAAGCATGAAGTCACAAGTCATCGTGGACGAGGTCTTGAGTGTGCTGGCCTTATTTAAATTGTTGATCACAATATATAACATGCTCTTTCCCAGAAATTGTAACTAAGGTCTGCTCAGCATAGTTGCAGTATAAACCACAGGTGAACTCTGTGGGTGTTGAATAAACATAAATGTGCCTGAGCAAGCGTCTGCAATGGGGATTGGCTAGCCACCCTAGTAGATGGGTATCCTCGAATACAAGTGGCCAGCTATACATATATACATGAGTACTGCATTCTTCTCATCCTTGTATGTACCATGTTCCTTTTGGATGTGGGCGATCATGGCTCTCCACAATTTTATGTTCTTTGTGGCACTAAGTAAGGTTTGTCTTTTTGCTATCTCTCCTAATCCCTGTTCTGCCAACCAATTACACAGTCATGTTAGGTTGGTTATTCAATGCTTTCCTATGTCTTTCTTACCTTATGTCCAAGCTTTCTTTTATCGTTATGTGCCAAAGAAATTTCAAATATCTTTTTCTGATGATAAGTATAATTGTTCCTTCATACATAAATTAGTTTTATTCCTCTCTTAAAATGTGGATATGAAACCTTAGTCCATTTTACTAACATATATGTTGCTCATTTTCTCATGGTAAAACTCAGGTCTATGTTGGGCAGAGGATACCAATTGCTGTCATACCAACCTGCTAAAAGAGAAAAGAAGTGTCTTGTGCGACCTTTCTTTGTGAGCATACAGAATTAATAATTCCTTTCTTAATGAAGTCTCTTGGTTGGTTGATTTTGGCGTAATCCACTTTTTGGGTTCCTTTCTTTTTTTGTAATGTGTCTCTTTAAAGTTTTTTTTTTGGCTACTTTTTTTTGCTACATCATAACAAAAGTATTTCCAGGTTGTGAGTTGGGGAAGGAAAACTAAAGGAGAAATGTATTTTTGTGTAGCCAATTTGAATATGTGATTTTGTATTTATCATTTTGTCAGCTGTTCCCTACACTGTTTACTTAATGTCTAACCATCAATATTCTTTTCAAAATGGTTGCCCACTTGTCTTTTAAGTTCCAGTTAACAATAAAATGTACATTATAGGACAAATATTTGGAGCAACACACTTAATTTCAAAGAATCACCTAAAAACTGGAGGTTGCTTGCATTTCCCCAATCTCATTTGCCAGAAGGACTTTCTATTTCTGAATGATTTTATCATATATTCAATAATAATAACAAAACATTTCAGCCATTGTATCTTCCAGCCTTCCTTATGTGTATATTGATCTGGGTAACATACAGAGAATTCTGAACCGAACACTTTATTTAATCAATGAGAGTAGACTGTTCTCACTCCACTGCTCATGTTTAGAGATATTGTCTAGCTCTTATTTTTTTTATTTAGTACTGTTCAATTATTGCTCACCAGTTTCCACTGAGTACAGGTACACACTGGCCAAACTCAGGATTGAACTCACAACCACTGAGTCAATTATTTTTTTACCCAAATAATTTCTTCTTTCTTACAGTGTCAAATGACATTCTAATTTTGATATCTTTTCATTCTTCTCATCTTTCTTTCCTTCCTGTTTTTCTCAGGTTATTTTTAATAATTTTTCCCCAAGTGATAATGTCACAAAGATGCAAGGGGTTACGATGAGTGAACGAGAATTAGAAGACTAGTGAGTAGATAGGGCAATAAAAGAACAGGTTTCAGGAAGACAATATAAAGACTGAAGTTGCACTCAAATTTTTGAAGATTGTAGATGACAGAAAATCAAGAAACCAGTGAGTTCTACACATGAGAAGTGAGAAAAAAGAAACTATTAAAGTAAAACTTATGGTTACCTCTAGCTATTTCAACAGTAAAATGATGAGACCTAATTACCAATCTAGTAGTACCCTTAAATTTATGTGGATGAGGTACCAAGGGAAAAAGTTTATTAGAACAATTGCCATGAAATATTTATAGAAAAGAAACAGGAAAACCACATCATGTCAGTGAGAAAGTGACTGATGTTGAAATGCAATGACCGATAGCAAAATTGCCCCTTCTTCGAATTTTGTCAAGAATCTTGAGATAAATACAGAACATCAGATCAAATATGGTAACAATATTCAATGCACGGATAAATGGTAAATTTATAAATGCACAAGATGGATAGTGACAATAAAAATTGTCTGGTACGTCACAGTGAAGCAACTTTCTTACATATTTATTATCTTTTCTCCTTTTTAAAAATAATTTTTCAATATTGTAAATCATCTTCTCTTGTTTTCTGACTTTTTCTTCCATATTTTCTTTATCCTTCTCAGTCTTCATTTCTCTTATTTCTATCCTCTTTCTTTCTCATTCCATTTATTATTCTTTTCTAGTTCATCTTTCATTCTTTCATTCTTTCCAGTTATTTTCCCTCTTTTAACTCCCTGGATTTTCTTTTTCTTTCTTTAAATTTCAGTTCTATTTTCTTCCCCCTAGTCTTTCTTTTCTTTCTTTCACTCCCCCACTTTTCTTTTTCTTTTGTCAAACTTTATTTCTCTTCATTCCCTTCTTTAGTCTTTTTTACATTTCTTGTCAAGTTTTCCCTTCTTTTTTCTTTCTTTAGTTTTTATTTCTTTTCTTAGTCTCTTCTTTTTTTTTCCTTCACCAGTCTTTCTTTCTCATCTTTTCCTTCCTCAATCTTCATCTTTTTTAACTTCCCCAGTCTTTCTTTCTTTTTTCCTTCCTTAGTCATTCCTCCTCTTCTTTTCTTTCTTTAGAATTTCTTTTCTTTTTCCTTTATCAGACTTTCTTTCTCTTCTTTTCCAACCTTAAGCTTTCCATTCAATTTTCCTTCAGTCTTTTTTTTCTCTTCTTTTCTTACCTTAGGCTTTTCATTCACTCTCCCTTCATCAGTCTTTCTTTCTCTTCCTTTCCTTCCCTGGTCTTTCTTTTTTTTTCTTCTTCTTTAGTCTATATCTCTCTTTTTCTCCTTCCTCAATCTTTATATTTTTTCTTTGCCTTTCTCAGCCTTTTATTCCCTTCGTTTTCTTTCTTTTCCTTCTTTAGATTTCCTTTCTCTCTCTTTTTTATCTTTCTGTTCTTTTATCTCTTCAATATCTTCCCTCCTTTTTTCTCTCTTTTGATCCTTCATCTTTCTTATTTATAAAACCCTATTGTGCATATAACTGTAACATATTCTCTATATTCCTGATGGATCTCAAGTAAAAGAGCTTTTCCTTGAACTTGTCTACCATCTATAATAGGTGACAAATAGAGACAGATGTTTGGTATATATTTGTAAAGAACCAAGGAAAAATTCTCATCCCCATAAGGAATCTTGCCAACATTTCAGATCTAGATCTGTACAAGAATGACTTTGTGGCTACAAAGGATAAGCTTTTCAATGCAAAAGAAAATTGTCTTCACAAAATGAAACTTTATGGATATGGAATGAATCTCTGTTGGTTTCAAATAAAAACTTTGTCCACATCAAAGAGCATGCAGTCTGAGCCAGAAAAGGATCCTTATCAAAAACAAACTTTATTGGGACAAAAAACAACATTGTCAAGACTAGATCTGATCAAACTAAAGCAAAAATTTATGAAGGAAAATGAACATTATCAACATCCTTGAAGAAGTCAAATAACTTACCTTCTAACATGGCTGTCTCCTTGGAAAGGCAGGCCAGCTAATCTAACTCATTTATAGGAGAGTACCTAATATAGCAGGTGGGTTAGTCCACTTTACTAGAATGGACCTGCCAAACACATTTGCATAAGTGGTCTCTATTCACCTATATATCTCTCCATTAAATCACTCAATGCTGTTTTTCACCTTGAAATAACGACACCAGTATACCTGTATGTCAGACCACTTGCAAGTTAACCAATATTCTACAATCCTCAAAAATTATCAACATCCAAAAAGGAAAACTGTTCTTACTCATTTATAATTCAGTTATATGTTCACAGACATACAATGAAAAAGCAACATTGTCAATAGTTTTTAATATTCATTATATTCTTCTACCACACTATCATTCTTGCCTATTAAACTTTTATTCTAATTCTTATATTTCATTGGTTGCAGAAAAAGCAACAATATTTGTTTGTTTTTTTTGTGACAAGTACTGGTTGTGATGAGTCCATTTTACATTTGTTATAATTCATGACACTGGGGTTTATTTATTGTCAGATGGCAGAAATTGTTTTAATTTGAACAAAATCATTAATGGGAAAATTTTCTTTTTAATGCACTGTTCCTTCAGAATGTAGATGATCATAGTTTTCTGTGTTTCCTTCTCCATAGTTTGTAAATTAGAATTTTTCTTCTCTTAGACTGGTTGCTAGCCACGGCTAGAAAGACCAGTCTACCCTGATGTTTTTCCCCAAGGGCATTAGTGTGATAATGAATACAAGAGGTTTATCAGGAATTTGAACTCAAGTCTGGAGAGTCATATGTTTGAGGTGATGTGATCATGGAGATTGTAACTCACCAATTTCTTGCCTTATGAGATTGTACAGCATTTTATTGATATGTGTATGGTCTTCCTTAGATCCTGATCTCTATTCAAGGCCTCTCAAACCTCTCAAACACTTCTTTATAATTGGCAACATTGAGCACTTAGGAAAGAAGTGAGAAGCCATGACATCTCCTTCATAGCTCAAAACCATCACAGTTAGCAGAAACCTTGTTTACATGACTATCAGAATGTCCTTAGGGTTTCTGCATAACCATCTGTCAATCCTTTTATTGACCTTTTGGACCTGATTAAAGATTTTCTCGCTAGAGAAAAACCAAAGCATTCCAGGGTCTAGATGTTTCAATTTGCTCAAGAAGATCTCTAGAACACTGATCAAACAGTTAGCTTTTCTCTTTACAGACATAAATTGGCTTTTCTGCATCACATATGACTTGTATCAAAGGTCATTACACACAATTCTTCTGTTAGAGAACCTTGAAACCTTGAGCTCTTTATCAATGATGTTAATTGATTTTTGGTATTCTTATAGATAATTTTCTGCACCCTTTGTACAATTTTATGTTTAGAATCCCCATCAGTAGCTTTTAGCTCTTTAGAAAATTTTGAAGCAAGTGACTTTCAGGAAGTCAGCAATCTCGAACCCTAAAAGAAATGACAATCAGAACAAGTTAAAAAAAAGTTAAAGCTATTAAACGATGTATCCTCAAGGAACTGAGAAACCCACTATAAATTTTATCTGACAGTAATGCTGTTTGATCAATAAATTCCAAATGTCTTTTTGTATGAAAATGGCTAATCCCACCATTACGATTAATATTATAACTAGCTTACACATGCCAAAAACACTGATAAATAAAAACATTGCAATTATTAGTGTTGTCAACTTTTTCATAGAGTTAGTCTTTTCACCTTCCAACTGTACAGACATTTTGAAACACTGATACTTCGAGTTGACAGCCCATGGTAAATAATTCTTGTATGTCATAAAGTTACTTCAGTGTATACTGACATATAAATACATACAATATAGCCATTATCATCATTATCAGTCTCTTGACTGAATGCAGTCATAGGATCATTGCATGGCTGAAATGCTAACCAGTTCCTTCCATAAATCTGGGTTGAAAGCCGAAGAAGTATTCATTTATGGAGCGAAGATGGAAATAAACATCAAGGCAGTCAATCATCAAATGACAAAAAAATGGGTTCTGAGTTGGAGTATCCTTGCATCATTCCTGTTAATAAATTAATCCTTTGAAATTAAACATTTAACATTTTTCAACCAATCGTTTGTGTTCCTGATGACAATAAAAAAAAAACACATTGTGATCCCTTTGAAGGATATTTACGTAAAGTCTCTAAGCAGACAAAACCAGTAAGGAATGGCAACAGGTGGCAATAGTTCAGAATCTCAGTTCAAAGAGATTACCTTACTCATTCACCTGTCTTCCTAATCATGTTACATGACACATAAACTCTTCATCACCAAGTTATGTGACATTCAACACTCTTCCTCATCAAACTTTCTTGTTAGCCTCCCTTTTTCACACATATGGGCAAAGAAATCACATTTCTTTTCATCTTAACAAACAGCTACAAACAAGGAACTTTAACACATACATGCTAATAAAAATCTATCATGCAAACATGAAAATAAAAATATTTTATATTTTTATATTTAAAAACCTTTCTCAACATTTTCTATTTTTGTGGGTTGATTCAAATTTGCAACAAATTCATATGTAATTTTTATTTAGGACAAGTAAACATGGTGAAGTCCATTCCTCTTCAGATCAAACCAAAACCAGTCCTCCAAATTGAAGACTCTTTTCTTCTTACCGCCACATTGACAGTGATTCAATTGAGGGAACCTTCTATTCTGGCTGTTGCATCAATCTAGGAAGCCCTCTGCCTAACAATACCATGTCATCAATATACTTTCTGCATCCATATTTATGGATCCCTGTCTATCTCACTGTGCTAGATGGCTGTTGATCCTACAAGAAGGAGAAAAATCAGCTTTAAAACAAAGTACAGACTGTACAAATCATTGGTAGTCTCCATTCTCCTATATGGATGTGAAATGTGGATATTGCTGGCAGATACAGAGAGAAGGATCCAAGTGTTTGAGAACAAATGCATGAGGAAACTTGGCATTTTCTACTGGGGAAAAAAAACAATGAGTTTGTGCAGAAAAGGGCTGAAAGTTTTGTGGGACACCAGGAACCTCTTCTCACCACTGTCAAACTGAGAAAAATGGCATGGTTTGGACACATTACAAGGCACAACAGCCTGTGCAAGACCATCATGCAAGGCACTGGTGAAGGTGGACATAAGAGTGAGCGCCAATGCAAAAACTGGTTGGACAATGTCAAAAAAAATGAACAGTTATAATTGTACCAGAATTGCTGATCGTTGCTCTTAATAGATCGGTGTGGAAAAGGGTTAATGTTGTTTCTGCATTCAGATCCGCCCTACGATTACAAAAGTCAAGGGGATGATGATGATGTTATATGACAGTTATAAAATCTTCTGATTGTTGGCCTGAACTTGGATGTTTGAAGACCCTTTCCTTTGCCCAGTGCCCTTAAAATATAAGAAATGCTTAATTTATTATTTAGTTTTGAAAAAGAGATCTTACGATATTCAATTTAGTGTTCTACAAAGAGCGGCAGTTGAACCATAGACCTTTAATTTCCCTGTTCAGTGTTTTCACCATTTATCTGGCTTCCTGCAGTCAAATGCTTCTTTATGTAGTCTATAGATTTATCTGATGTTTGAAAGAAAGTATTTTACAGTTTCTTCCATGATTGTGGCAGATTTCTTTCAGAAGAAATAAAATATGTTTCCAGGAGACTCAGACTACAAAGGATTTTGAAGAACAGATGTGGCATTGTAAACGTTGTGCTAAAGTTTTCTGAGTCTGGCAGAGAACCAGGAACTTGGAAGCAAAGATGCTATTCTTTGCAAACTTGGTTTTACTTGCAAACACAATGATTGCTTTCTTCTTCATTTAACACTGATGTTTTTTGAAAGAAGAACATTTCTTTCGAAACAGACTCTGTTTATCCTTTTATATATCCGCACCTGAAATATCTGTTTCTTTTAAATATTAGCTTTCTTTTCATACAACATCATTAAATAATATATATAATCTCTGATGTTATTACTTTGCTTTTCATTATACAATATGAAATAAGTATAGACATTAAAAAAAACTTTCATACAAAAAGAAGAAATAGATAATAAGATACCAAGATTGGTACAAAATCTACAGAGATTTGGTTTACTCATACATTCAGACAGAACCAAAATATGGTAATGGTAGTATTAGCCATTTCATTATAAGGAAACATTTTTCTTCTCTCCTTGACCATGGGACTGGGATCAAAGTGTAGTATATATTCTAATCTCTAATGGTTACATTAACCATTTCCTTATGAGGAAACTTTTGGCATTCTTTCACTGAGAAGCTAGTGCTACTCAAATTATGATTTTCTTCATTGGCAATTAGGTTTGGATCAAAGTGTAGTATCTGCCCTTGGGCAGATAAACTACATTTTATCTCTCAATTGTGTCTCTGTCTTTGGATGAAGTGTGTGGACAGAGTGCAACTGAAAATATTATTGAGGGATGCTTAGTCTCAGTGAACAACTGCCTGCTGCATTAACTCCCTCATTGCA